AGCGGCGCGGGCTCCGCGCCGCTGGGGTGCCCCGGCCTACCCCGCCGCGGGGCCGAGACCGAGTTCCTAGGAGGGCCTCGGGGGAACTGTGGCCCAGTGAGGTGCAGGGATAACGTGCCTGGAAACCGTTTTGCTGTGAGACTTCTGGTAACAACCGCGTAGTTACCGGTTTGACAGCCACAGCCGGGCTTGTGCCTCTTCAGGCGCATCGTTGGGCGGCTGGAGCCTGCCCGGCACCGAGCCCCAGGGGCTGTGGTGTCTGGCTGCCTTGGAGTGCTGCACCTTGCCTGGCATAGCCCCTGTCCTGGGAAATGCGCTCCCTAATGTGGCTGTAAAGTGCTTTTGTGCCTCTTATCTTGTCTTTTTGGGAGCGTATTATGTGCTTTAACGTGCCTGAGAGTGCCAGGCTTGTGGTACGGATGAAGAGCTTGGTGTCTTTTCAACAGGCGTGCGTAGGATTGAACCTAGGTGTTGCAGGTCCTCAGCTGGATGGAGCTCGTGCTGCAGGAATACTTTCTCTTGCACACCACTGTCCTGTGAAACCTGATGCGGTTCCTACAGCTGTAGCATGTGTGCCCATCTCTGGTCAGTCAGCAGACAACAGTAGTGCGAAGATGAGGTGTTCTGGCTCTGGGAGCGCTTGTTGTTCTGACTGAGCTGGTGACAATTCTTTGTACCTATACAAGGATGTAACAAGGCTTCTTATTTCCTCCAGTAGGTTGTTGCTGAATTTAGTGGAGATAGAACTGAGTCAGGAGCAGAAGTGAAGCATGTTGTCAGCTTGATGGCTCAGTTGGAAACTCCAGCAACCTCCACGCTTGTGCTGTCTTGGGTGTCTTGTGGGACAGAAGGACCGTATGGATGTTACCTGTGCTTGTGGAAGAGGGTGTGAGAGAATGAATTTAGCAGAGCCAATGCAGCTTAATGGTGTCTGATGAGTGGTGATTAATGAGCAGTGTTGGTTTTGTTCTGTGTTGGGGACTGGTTGCCTCAGTTGCTTCTCAAATTGCCTCCCATTTATTTTAGTATGGCTATTCTGTCACTCTTCCATCTACCGTCTCTTGTTCCTCAGGCTTATCCTCCAAAAAGGTATACTAAGGTGCTTTTTGCTGCAGTTTTCATACTAAGTTTTTATGGTGTATTTCTTTTTTTCTGCCTTCTGGTTTTTCTCATCTGCTCAGACAGCAAACTCTCTGAATCCAGGACAGTGTGGTGTTTGCTACCTGCTCTGAGTCTCAGCACGGTAGAGTTCTGATCCTGATAAATAGCTAGGTGTTGATGTAGTAAATATAACTAATAATAACAGCCTCATGGGGCTGAGGAATGTCTCTAACAAATGTTAAATTAATTGCTCTGCCCCAAAGCAAGAGAACAGCCTGTAAATGTTCAGGACGTCTTTTTCTAGCTTATTCTTAGCAACCGAATCGCTGTTGGTAATCCATCTCAGTACCCTTGTTTTCACTTTTACAAGGATTTTTGTGGTCTTTAACCAAAATCTACCATGCTACAACTTAAGACTGTTATGTCCTGTCATATTCACCATGGCCACAAGGAACAGATTATTTCTTTTGTCCTCTCTGCAGCAAACATTTATGTATTTGAAAGCTGTTATCACATGTCCCCTCCAGGCATCTTCTCTTTAGGCCAGACAACTCTGATTTCATTTCACCCAGTCTTTTCATTTCAGTCCTTAGGGCTCTGATCACTTTTATTGTTCTCCTGTAGATTCTGTTCAGCTGCCTCCTGTTATTTTCTCAGGTGCTTACACAGCTGACATCATGCTCCAGTTCAGGCTGGGGTGAAATCTCAGAGTTTAAAAAAAACAAAAACAAACCACAACCAAAAAACCCACAAAGACAAAAACACAAACCACAACCAAAAAACCCACAAAGACCTAGGCAGTTAGAGCACAGTGCAGGTGGTAGGAATGAGGCTGAGTCTCTTGAATATTCTGGAGTCAAGCATAACCTTTCTGTCATGTCAACATTGCCCTGTTGACTGTGGATCAACTTGCTAAAGTTGTGTTGGTAACTAGTACCTGATGTGGGGCTGATTCTGACAAAGACCAAACATCTGTGGTTTTTTTATAGTTAAGGTATCCAATTAACAAGGAGGTCTGCAGAGAGAACGGAGAGTTTCACTTTCATCTGAATGCTTCTACAAACTGTCCTGGATTTTGCCTCCTTCAACTAACTGTGAACATGCCTCTTTGCCTTCCGGGGGCAGCTTTAATCTGTTGTAGTGAGAAATGCTCCTACTTTTCCGCCCTTATGATCCACTTAAATCCACTTATATCTCCTTGTATTTTGACGGTGAAGTGTTCAGGTCTTTCATTTGTGTTCTGCCCTGCAGATTCTTGCCTGAGGCCTCTGGGTTGCCAGTGTAATACAAATTGCTGCTATTACGTAAAATAGGTGCTTTTGCAGATATCTTAAGAAAGGAATCATTTATTACCAGCACACGCTGATTAGGTAGAATGGGTGGTGCTTTTGTAGTCTTAACAAACTGAAGAAGGAGGAGTGGGGAAGAAAAAGCAAGGTGTGGGAGAAAGGATCCAGATGGGGAGTGAAGAGG